CAGGCTTTTGAGAGCTGGCTTCGTAACTTTTCCGTGCAATGCCGGCCTAGTGCTTGACGTACTTCACGTCGGTAAGAAAGCACAGCTGTATTATATACGTGATCATGCACGTAAAGTGTGTATTTTCAGTGCGCATGCACACAACTAACATGCAGTGAGCGCACACTGTATAATTCATACAAGCTTAGTCTGGTAACAAGAATAGTTTATTGTCCTTCCATATGAACGACACAACTTCTAAAAACCCGACACGATGCCTACAACACTGAAAAAGAAAGTTCGCGTGTGTTCTCAGTTGACGCAATCAGAACGAATGGAGCCTACAGCGGAGAGCTCTGCATGCAAATGCGATCAACAAGGATGCGAACATGTGTGAAAAGTACTACCAGGTTCATCCGGCGGTGCACGTGATTCGCACCGAGTGTACACTACAGCGGGGCATCACACAGCTTTTCTAAAAAAAAACACGCAAAAGAAGAAACGCTCGTGGATTGACTCGCAACCGGCAGAGAACACCGTTAACACCGCTTCCAGGCCGCTGCGGCGGCTGCTCGCCGGCAATCGCGAAGTGTTTATCTGCTCCTCCGCTAGGAGGTAGTGTGGGTGTTTGCGATGCGGCGGCTTCATGAATATGACGTCATGGCCTCTCCTATATTTTTCCTTCCTCCACGGTGAAAAGTGTGGAGCAAATGACATCATGGCGGCCATATTCACTGGGCGCAGTAGCGGCGTTGCTATGGTTATGTGTTGCACAGTGTAGCTGGACTAACAGTGAGCTGCCGCGGCTGGCGGCGGCATGTGTGCCTCCACAGATCTCGTGCTGAGCAGTGACGGACAATAGAGAGTTTTAGTACTGCGTACGCTGCGTACGTGGCGGCGTTGCGTACGTAAGGACGCCACGTTCAGCGTAGTGCGCATGCGCAGACCGCAACGCGCACGTATCGCGTTACGTACGCAGCCGCTACGTACGCACGCAAGAGATGCGTGCGTGCTTACGTATGAGGTGATCGCGCCGCTCTCGAACAAGTTCGCGAAAGCGCGAGACTTCGTTTTGCAAAATGGCGGCTCTGTGGCTTAAAATATGGCCATAATCTGGCTATAACACTTGGATTGGCTCACATTGGCTGTAACAACACGTGCTTCTATTTTGATCTACCAGATGGCGCAACACGCTTCACGCTCGTTACGTACGCGGGTACTACGGCGTACTAAAAGCCGATTAGTGGCAAACGACGCCAAGTAACGCAAGGCGCTTGCGTGATGCGTACGTAGCACCATTCGGCAGTACTAAAACTCTCTAATATCCGTGCTCTGCGCCGCGTTTTTGGTTACGCATTGTTCTCCTGGCAGTTTCCAAAACCTTTCGACCACCACGGGGCCCCGACAGTGCATAGAACGAGCGCATTTCCATGTGTCGGGCGGCGGATGACGTGAATAAAGCATTTGATGTGTTCAGCGAAATTGAATTGGGCACCATGACGAAGCGGAACAACGACGAACGCTTTGCAGGTCAGTGATGGTTGTGCAGTGCTCCTTCTTGTGACAACGGACAAAACTTTTGTGCCCAGCAAGACGCAATGAGGACCATGTGCCCGTTCGTAGTTTTGTTTACAGTGTGTGTACAGTATCAACTTGCATGTGTGTAATAAATCACCTTTTCCGTTCCGCTTGTCATACTCGCGCCCAGCATTGTAATGTCAGCGTTAGAGCAACCGCGTTCAAGTGTTACTTGCACCGTGCTCAAAGTCATCACGGTCGGAGAATGCTGACGCCGGTCAGTTTCACGCGGAATACGGACATAGTGGCCGTGCACCGCGTCAGCCGCGTGGTTGAATGCAAGCGTAGAAAGCGCACGACCGATCGCGTTGTCTGCACAGTTGCTCGATTAATGACGTGAAATCACTCGCCGTTGTCAGTGCATCTAGCGCGCTTTCTCTTGTACATGCTTCGTTGTCGGCGAGCTATTACTCACTGTTATTACTCGGACGAAATGATTTCGTGAAGCTGTCGCGCTGGCCCAGATATTTGAACCCCGCTACATTGGTTTCGGATCGTCACCACACGCACGCTGCGCAGCCCACGTGCTTTCCGAAGCGGAGAGAGAGTCGCGCCTTCTGGTTTACATTCGGCTGTAAACAAGAGAGGAGAATCTGCCCAGTCAATATGACCGACTTGCGGCTTCACCAAGGTTGTAGTAAATTTCTAGACACTGTACCACGGCTTCACAACGAGTGACGTCAGGGCCTCTCCTAAGTTTTTCCTTTCTCCGTGGCACAAGCTGTCTCCCCTCCCCCTGTTCTCTCTTATCAAGGAAGGGAGCATGCTACCACGTCTGGCCAATTAAGGCACGCAGTTTGTGCTAGTGACATGCCCCTCTCGACGCAATTATCCCCCCCCCCCCCCCCTGCTACCATTTTCATGAACCTTACCCATGAGAAAAATAGGGGATGGATAGTGTATTTCTTGTCCCATTCAGCTGCGATCAGTTGCGGGCCTCACACGTTCTAACTTGCTCATACAACAAGTGATGAGCAGGACGATCTTATCGATTTAGGCTTTGTGCAGTACCTCATGGCTAGGGCGACAGACGGAGGTAATTATTAAAGGGCCACTCACCAGTTTTAACATTTATGAGCTGATAAGTGCAATGCGCAGATGAGGTGTTCACGATCACTTCTGCCAGAATTTGCAACGCTACGTGCCGCGGACATGGGTCGAATTTCAAAATGAACGCTGCTCCCACTTCCTTTCGCGGGCGCGCGCCAAGAGAATGAGGGCATGGCGTGCACATATGCTACCTGAAGACATCGTTTCTTCTCTGAATCATGAAGATATCATAAATAATCCTGAAAGTTATTTTACTGATCACTATTATTGTTGTTGTGCATATCTCTTTATTCTTAATCTTTCAGACTGTATTTCAAGCAGCGAGAATCATTTTCTTTATTGTATCGTTTTCTTGTTCTGTAAGCACTGAAATAAACTTTCCCTTCGAGTTTTTCTCCTTTCTTTACGTTTTTTTAAATTGAGCATTTCTTTTATCTGCGTTGAATTAGTGCTCTCTCATGTAATGGTATGTATAAATATGTATGAAAGTGTGTATTAGAGAATGCGTGTAATTATAATTTTTATCAAAGTTTTTTTTGTTTGAATATGTATGCTGTAATTGTAACAGCTTTATTTTATAATATCTCCCCTATGTAATGCCTACTGAGTTCTCTGGGGTATCTGAATAAAAAAAAATTGCCCAACGTACTACATGGAAGTGCAGTGAATTTGGTCCTCTGTGTAGACGACTGTGTTCGGACGTTGCCAACCGTGGCACGTGACATGGTGAAAGTTAGTTAACACGGCGTGCGTAATATACGTAATTTCTTGCTTGAAGAGCTCATTAAAACTTGAGATAAAAAATTGAGATGCTATAAGGGAATATGCGCGTTTTTTTCTCATATTTAGCATGATTGCTAAAAGAGGCGGGGCTAATTTGCCGGCATTTCACATGTGTTCGTGTCCCCGTGGTCAGCGCATCAAGCAGACAACAGCCATGGAAGCGAAACTAGGGTTCTTATGCGTTCGCTCACTCATTGCTCTTATCTATTTTAGCACGTTAAAACCAGCGTTTCAAAACCATCCCGCCGAAACAAGCAGTATACCCCAAAATAATGCTGATCAACAAAACAACGCCGTTGGTATGCTTGGGGGTTCAGCCTGTACGGGTACATGCTCACGTGACCTCTCGGTCGGATGCTGAAGAGAGTATACGGAAAGAAATTTGGCTTTCGAAGGCTACGCGGTGGAGCGGGAAGTGTTTTCAGCTCGCCTCCTCTCATCCTCGTTTCGCTCTGCTTCAAGAAAGCAGTTTTCTTAGCTCGTAATGAACAGATAAAAAAATGTGCCGTAATGCTGTTCATCGGACGCACAGCAACACCCACTGTCTAACAAAACTTTTTATGGGGTCTGGTGAGTGGTCCTTTAAAGAGTAAGAATGAAAAGTGAGCTCCGCAATTGTCTGGATCAGTAAGCGAGACCTGAGCAGTAGCGGACGAGAGAATGGGATGACGGATTAAAAGGGTGAGGGAGCGAAGTTAAAGCTGTTGAAAACACACCAATCGCTCTACTAGCGCACGAACCTGTGATGCGCTGTCCCACTCATAGACTTGAAAAGCAGCACCCATGGCGTAGACGAGGCAGTCAGCAACAGACCGCTGTGCTTTCGGGAAAGGTGAACCCCGGCGGGGTAAAACATAGAAGCAGTGCATGTGCTCGCACTGGTGAATCGTGTAGCATTTACGTAGTTTTGTTATCGGTAATAAGCAATATTATTTGGAGTTTGGAGGAAGAGCTTCGCTAACGAGACAACCGTCTGGCATGAAATCCGCTTGGTGACTCCGGTGAGGTCGACGGCAGAAATGCACCTCGAGCGCTGACATCATTGTTATAGCATAAGAAAATGGTTCAAACACAATTTTTATGTACAAACCTATTTGGTGCTTTTTTCGGTGCCTTTTTAAAGTAAAAGCACACGTCCCTTTGATGACATGGGCAAGGAAAAGCGGATTGTGAGCATGACGATCTCTTCGAGGCAGCTGCTTCTTAAAGCTGCGCGCATCTAGAAGGCACTGGAGCTAATTCGCTAATGATCATCCCTGAGCATGCCTATGCTCATCGTGCTGCGAAACTTCACTATATGCGAGCGAGCGCTCGTCTCCTCCAGGGCCGCTGACCTCCGTTTATCGCAAAGCACAGCCGTTAAAAGGACGCCAGACGGTTAGTGTTGGCTACCCTGCCGCACCTGGACGTTTACATTTATACTGTGCGAAATACACAGGTAAACGTGGTTTGACCATTAAATTCAACGTTTTAGAACCTTGTTATTTATGGAATGAACTTTTTCTTTTTTTCTATAAAATAGATTCTTTCATTTTTTTTGTATTGACCTAGTGCTGTGGCCTTGAAAAGCTAGGCAAATAATATTTTGTACTGTCCCATCCCCCGTGCAGGTGACCTCCGCCTTTTTCTTCACGTCTTTCCTCCACATGCTGTGTCAAAAGATGATTCACAGCGGACTGCAGCTCCCCACCATCCGACGATTGGGAGTTGGAGGTGGAACCCTGACCCAGGCCACGTACAACTCCGCCTTCAAGGCATTCCGCAATCTCGAGTGCGTAGTAAACATGTATGGCATGACCGAGGCTTCGGGTCTTGTCTGTTCGCCAACCATGAGCCATGCGAGGGGCATAGACATCGGATATCCCGCTTGCATGGTTGAGGCTAAGGTAAGCTTTGTCTCTATATATTCACGGTTAACCGGAAAGTTGTTGGTGAGATGAAAAAGTTTGTTGTATTGGGCGCAACAAATAACTTGCTTTTCACTAAAAGCAGGCTGCTGTTTGATGTACCTTTAGTTTATTTCAGCTCTGATATATTCGGAAGGGAAAATGTTGCACAATTACTTCCGCGAGGTTTTCACCCATGCTTATAATCATTTCCCTGGTCAATGTAAAACTCTGCCCTAGCCACAATCCTACTGATTTCGGGAGGTGCCGAACTTTAGAATTACGCTTTTTTACAAAGGCCTATACCAGTCATATAAAAGAATTGCATGATGGCCCATGAACTCCGCATTCTGCCCGCCAGAGAAGTACATGCCATGATGGGTACAACGCAAGTAAATTCAATGTTTGAAGTTTGAACTTTATTAACGTGAAAACTGTATGGCTCCTCAGTCAAAGTTAACGGGTCGGGTAATTTGCCCATATGTAACAAACAGTTCCGATAAATAGCGATACTTAAATTTAAGGAACGAGCAACAACATAAAATATACAAAGCATAATAAAAATATTCCATGCGTGTAATATTTTTGCATTGTTCGCTCGTTAAGTCTGGCAAGAAGCATGAAGACGCAGACGCTTTCTCTCGCTGCCCCTTCCAATATCACCGTCTAGACCAATTAATCAATATTTGTCCCATGATCTAGATGCTGTGTCAAGCTCTACGTTGTCCCAACTAGCGGTTGCTGGCATGCTGGTTTCATATCACTACGCTCAGTTCACTTTGCGCCAGCATGATGATCCGTACTCAAGCCGAATCATCGAACGCCTAAGAGACAAGTCGCCTTCTCTTTATGCCAGATCAAGTCCATAACTACGGATATTTCGCGTGGACAACAATGTGATACACCGTCACACCATATATGGACACCGCTGGGTTCCAATTATTTCACGTTTTTTAGGTCACCAACTTCTCAAAGCCTATCATGACGGCCATTGTGCAGGCCACTTGGGTTATACCATAGCACACAGCCACGTCAGGCAAGGTTTATTCTGTCCTGGCCTGTCTACCTTTGTGACCGTCTACGTTGCTTGTTGCCCTTTGTGTCAACGGCCGAAGCTACTAACGTCAAGTTTGCTGGCCTATTGCACCTAATTCCGTGTCCCGAAGCGCCTTTCGCCATCGCTGTGATAGACGTAATCAGACCTTTTCACATCACGCCAAGAGGTCATGGTATACAGTGACAGTAGTTCATCGCCTGACATGGTACGCAGAACTGACCCTATGCGTACAACATTGTGTTACGTGAAATTGTACCTCTTGTCCGGTAGAGTAATTGTGGCAAGACTTTTCATTCCACGGTAATTGAAGATCTACTGCGGCATTGTGGCACAGCGCACAAAACATAGAGTTTCACACAGTAATACCTAGAGAGGAATCTGGCGCTGCGATCGTGCACCCCCATGGAAAATATGGAAAGTACAGGCTTCGGATTGGATAGGGTTAGCTAGCGAACTGTCCACAAACTTTTTATACAGTTTAAGTTTTGTTCTTCGCGCAGCGCTGCTAGTGAGGTGCAGTAAAAAGCGCGGCCGTGAATGTGGTTCCGCAATCTGTTATAACAATCGACAGTGCACCGTGTCTCAGCACAATGTTTTCTATGAAGAATCGGGCCACCTGTTCGGCTGTGCCTCTCTATTCAGAGACAAAAGCCATTTGACTTTTGTCTTGGCGTAACGAGTAACGTAGTCGGTCGCCACTTTAACCCAGCGGTTACCAGCACTAGAGGCAGGATGTGACGCGAAAGGCTCATTTCGACCTGGTGAAATGACGTTGGCAGGATCTGGACTGGGTGTAACAAACCGGCTTATTTTGCCAGAGGTCACTTGCGCCGCTTGCAATCGAGGCAGGTCTGACCATGAATTTTCACGGCAGCGGTGAGTCTATGCAAGAAATACCTTTCTCGAATTCTCCCCAGTGTGCGCGTGAAGCCTGAATGTCCAGATGTGAACTCGGTGTTACGCGCTTGCAATGCCTGAGAACTAAGAGTGGTAGGAACGACAGCAGGTAAGTGGAGCCATCTGACGAGAAGTTCGTTTTGTAAAGACCGTTGTTTCACAAACAGAACGATGATAATCCTCTTGAAAAGGCTTTGAGCGTCTTATGGCTTCGTAATCCTAAAAAATTATTCAAACCAAGTAGCTCAGGGTTGTTATGCTGGTGGTCTGTGATGGTTGCCGTATCTAGGATTCCGAGGAACGCTGTCTTTTCATCCAAAAAGCAGCAGACTCCACTGGTGATCGAGACAGGCAGTCGGCTACCGTGTGCCATTTTTCCGACTTGTACACCATCGCCTAAAAGGATATTTCAGACTTTTAACCAACACGGTGGCGAATTGTGGTCACTGACAACCTTGAATGGACGGTTGAAAAAGCATGGGTATGGTTTCATTACTGCCCACACCGTGGCAAAGCATTCTTTTCTAGTTGTCGAGTAATTTGCTTTCGTGCGTGACAGATTTCTGTTTGCGCAAGCGATCACTTTTTCCTCGTCATCCTGGCGCTACGCAAGCACAGCTCCGAGGCCAGCGTTGCTGGCATCAGTATGGTGCAATGTGAGGGCTGTCTCATCGAAATAAGCAAGCAGGTGGTCGTGTGTAGACGTTGCCACGAGTCATTGCATGCAGCTTCCTGTTCGTCACCCCAGACAAATGCCACGTCATCCCTCGTGAGGTGAGTCAAAAACGACGCAATGCGCATAAAGTCTTGAATAAACCACAGATAATGTGCACAAAGACCCAGAAAACACCTGGCAGCCTTTTCATCTTAAGGTGTTGAAGCTGTGGGACGGCGGCAACTTTCTCGCGATCTGCATGACCTCCTGCGTAACTGAAAACATGGCCAAGAAACTTGAGTTCCTCAAAGCAGAAGTGAAACTTTTCCGCTTGAGTGTCAGGCCTTGAGCTCGTATGGCCTGCAAGACTACCTGCAACCATTCAAGGTGTTCGTCAAACGTTGTAGAAAACAATGACATCATCAAGGTATACTAGGCAAGGTTCTATATTTGCGCCCAGACAGCACGGTATTGATGAGATGCTCAAAACTAGCAGACATGGAGCACAAGTCGAATGGTAAAACCATAAAGTTGCACAGTTCGTCTGGCATCACGAATGCGATATTTCACGATTACTTTGCCAATATGCACTCTTTTAAGTCCATGCAAGAGAAGGAGCGTGAGTATCGAAGTCTGTCAAGCGAATATGCTATGCGGGAAAGCGAGTGCACGTATTTTATTGTGATGGTTGGTCACTACGTTAAAGTGGCGTTCATAAAGGCAGGCCTAAATTTCATCGTGGTCCATACAACATTGATGAAATATTTTTCTGACGTGAAGTAGTTGACCTCGGCGCGAGAAAGAGTGCGGCTAGCGTACCCTATTACTCGCTCCGTACCCTGTGGTAGATGGACGAGGACAGTGCCAAGACCCACGTTGCTGGCGTCAGTATGAATCTAAGTATCATCATCTTAGTGAAAGAGAGCGAGGACTAGCAGCGCCTTCAAACGCTCTCGTAGTTCAGAGAAAGCTGCGTTCTTTTCTTTTTCCCGGACGAATGGCACGTCTTGACGAGTGAGTCGAGTGAGCGGTTCAGCCATTCCAAAGAAATGGCTCTAAAGCAGCGGTAGTACGCGCACAGCCCTAGAAAGCGACATACTGCCTTGTTATCACGTGGAACAGAAAACGAGGCAACGGTGGTGCTTTTGTCAATGTCTGGTCAAACACCATCCACACTGACAACATGGCCGAAAGCTTTAATTCGTTATAACCAAAGTGGCATTTTTCTAGCTTCAGTGTCAGGTTAGCAGAGCGGAGCGCTTCTAGCGCAGTCTGCAGACACTTCAGCTGTTCCTCAATGGTCATAAAAACGTGACCACATCATCCAGATGTTGTAGGCACGTGTGCCACTTTAGACCGATATGAACAGTGTCCATAATTTTCTGGAATGTCCCAGGTGCGAAACAGAGGCCGAAAGGAAGCACCTTGAAATCATATAGGCTGCCCGGTGTAACAAAGACGTTTTTTTCACGATCTCGTTCATCAACTTCGATATGCCAGTAGCCACTGTTCAAATCTATCGATGAAAAATACTTGCCCTGCCGTAGTCTGTCAAGGCAATCAACGATACGGGGCACTGAGTAGACATCTTTCTTAATCGCGCTGTTAAGTTTGTGTATTCTACGCAGAAGCGCAGTTATCCATCTTTTTTACCTTACGACAATGACCGGATGACCAGGGACTCTTGAAAGGTTGGATAACATCATTGTGGAGCATCGCTTTGACTTGAGTATTTATCACGTCACCTTCCTTTGCCGAAACGCGGTAAGGGTGTTGTTTTATGGGCGAGGCGTCGGTATACGCAATATTTGGTGTTTGGTGATCAATGTCTGACGAACCTCCCAGTTGGATCTGAAGCACTCTTTAAATGGATGTATGATCAGCTCACATATATATAGCTCAGTCTGTTCTTGTTCCGAGAAGGTCGAATTGACATCAATTTTGGCCAGTAATGAAGTCACGTCGCTCGGTCTTCGTCGGAGCCCGCCATGGGCTGATGTATAAGTGAAATAATCAGCAACGTCTCAGATAGGGTAGGCGAAAGCGACGGCGGTGTGACGAATTAGGTGCCGGTACTCGTTACTGAAACTAGCCACAAGTAGGGCAGAGTGTCCGTCATGAAGCGTGACGAGGCTGCGTGAAGCGCAAACACCTACCGCGAACAAACGCGCCAAGTTGCCTTCGGCGACAGCCTCACCATCCAGTAACTTGTCAGGACACCACATCAACTAGGATGCTGGTACGCGAAGGCAACGTGATACGGTCGGCATAAACGCGAAACGAGCTGTCACGGCTGTCATCGGATTTGTCGGTAGATCTAGCTGTCGAAAACGTCACAATACGCTCCCGAATATTTATAACAGCGCCGTGCTCCCGCAAGGAGTCGTATTC